CCCGTGTGAACCCATCCTGCCGGATATAAACAGAGCCCGCGGGAAAAGCAATGCAAATAAATAAATTAATAAACCCGCCCTCCACGGCGGCTAGAAAAAGCCATCGACTTCTGGAAAGACAAACAAGAGCTAAAGGGCTTTAATTGCACAGTAAATAAATTTTAGGAAGGGAGAGAGAGAACCGTGTGCTACACACCCGTAAAGTGAGCGCGCTGGGTGAAAAAACAGACTGAAAGGGGTTATGGGATGGTGTGAAATACTGGGGGTGAGTTGCAGCCCTTGCAGGTTTCACGATTGGGAATTTGGGTTGTAAGCCACTGTAAGTCAAAACCCTTTATGGACCTGCCTTTTTCCATCTCAAACAGCATGCTGTCTTCTATAGATTTTTCATATTTATACAATCGGTCTCAACTAGCCCCCTATACAAAGGACATTGTTTTTGTTATGGTCCTTCAAGTCAATCCTGTCTCCAGGTGGCTACAGGAACAAGTCCCTGTAGTTTACTTGGGGTGCGTGTGCATATATGTGTGTGTTTTGGAAACGGTTTGCCCTTGCCTCCTTCCTAGCGCTGAGAGAGAAGGATTGGCCCAAAGACACCCAACTGGCTTTGTACCTAAGGCAGGAATAGAATTCACGGTCTCCTAGTTTCTAATCCAGGGCCTTTAACCACTACACCAACCGGTTTTTGGAAAGGACCCTAGGGTAGCATAAAAACTGGGATTCCCAAATTCTACTCTTTTCCTGCAAGAACTTCAAGTGGCAATGCTCAGACTGGCACAGCTCGTTCAAGGGTTCACTTCTCCACCTCAAAGATCTCCCGCTGTAAGGAGGCCAGGAGACCCTTCCCAGGGCTAGCTGGAGATGGTGAGGTTTGCTTGCCACTCTCATTCCAGGAATTGCTGGCAGGCTGGACAGCGGTGTCCTCTTTCACCAGAAGGTTGTCCTTCAACCTTGTGAATTTTAATCTATTTGCCAAGGAGTTAAACCATTGTTCTGAAAGGAAACAAAGCACATGCATGTTAGCTGAAGCAAAGCCCTTTTCTCCAACAAAGAGAACGCCTCTTCTAAAATCGTTGTGCATCGATAGGTGTTTTCTGACGGTTTGATGACATCACGCGAGGGGCCTTTGAGCCCATTAAATGGTGGTGATGGGTGTAAATAGAGGCACCCAGGAACGTATATTTAGATAAAAAGCTGATGCCTGGATAACTAGAAGCCGTTTTGTGGTCAACAAAGAGGGGAGGGAGCATCTTAAGAATAAGTTATACAAAGAGGTCCCTTTTTTGGGGCAAGCATGTGATTGAATTCATAGGGATGTAGATTTGGACACGTTTGTAGTCCAAGTAAAGAATGGGACATCCACATTTGCAAGGTACGAAGCGAGCAACAATGACTATGATCAAAACTGAGGGTTCAGGCCAAAGATTAGAAAGAAGAGGAGACACCCCCATACTATTTTTTTTTAAAAAGGACCGTTTCTTTATAGCTTGGGGACTTTTCTTCCTATGATCCAATCAATAGCTGTTTGAGAGCCAGTTTCTTCCTTTTTTTTTTTTTTAAGAATAAAGTACATTTTGAGTCAGGTCTTTTCTGTTTCCTTGTGGGGAGGGAACAGGAGAACAATAGCTGCCTTAGTCGGATGGCACGAATTGGCCACCGTGTTCACTCAACTCAGTCCCGATTTCTTAGTTAAAGAAAAATGCAGAACTATTATGCTTGGTAGCGAGACACAAGCAGGAACGGCTTGTCCAGAAGTATGGCAGTCACAGCAGGTCAGACGGTCTTTTGGACAACCAAGCTGCTGTGCAAAAGTCCCCGGCTTGACTTTGGTGACATTAAAAATGTCCCCGTTGCAGCAGAACAAAGCAGCAGAGAAGGTGCACCAAGAAGAAAGAGTCATTGGAAAAGGTCACGGTTGTTTACGGCTTAGAGATGTTGGCAAAGGCGCCCTTGATCAAAGTGGAATCTTCTGCATCACTTAGGAAGAACAGGATAAGAGTGATTAACTCCCAGCGAACACAAACAATGCAGTCTTCACTGGGAACAAGATGATTGAATGGTCGCTGCGGAGAACTTGATCTGCTACCTGGAATTTGATCACGTTTCCTAAATACATTGTTTAAGTTCACATACGTACAGAGGCCGGGATTGTTTTCCAGGCTGGCATTTCAAGTGCAAATGTCACACTGGTTAGGACCACGACATTCTCCTGGCTGGCGTTCGAGGGAGTTGAATTCTGTGCTGTTCGGTGCAATCAGATACGAAGCCAAGTTGATGTCTGGAAAGGCCCCCTCCATTGTTTTCTGTGGGACTTAAGGAACATGCTTAAGATCTTCCTTGGTGCAAATTCCTAGAGATCTCAGGAACATTCACGTTCTCCCTCCCAAAGTTAGAGGTTGGACACAGAGCTCAGCGTGGAAATTCTGATCCCAGTTTTCTTTCTTTCTTTATTTATTTATTTGATTAATTAATTTCAAATTCGTCACCGCCCATCTCACTACAGATCCTCTAAGCCTCCAAGACTGGTTCTGACACTGGGAAACCTGAACTTCAGAAGGTTCCCAAGGGGGTGGGATGTTTCCAAGGGAAGATCTGATGGGACGTAAATTCTACCACGTCTCAGCAGCCAGCAGCACTCCGCTAACCTTGTCTGGGCTCGCTCAAACCAAAGCAGGAACAAACCAGGATGGTCACTGAGTGAAAGATGAGCAAGACGTCCCAGGGCTTAGACTGTGAAATAGAGAGTCTTCTTCCCAGAAGACGGTGACAAACTTCACTGCCAAAAAACTGTCCATTAAGTCATCAGGAGCTAAATTGAAGGCATTTGTAACCTTTTAGAGCTCCACTGTGCTCTATGTTAAAGAGAAGGTTCTGAATTTTGGAAGGAAGGAAGGAACCCAAGAAACTCTCATTCCCATCTTCCCATCTTTATCTGTTTCTAGACCCAACTCAAGGGGCAGGTTTGAACCTTTAAACCTTTAAGCAGTTAAAAGGTCCAGTTGTACCAGCCTAGGAGCAATCTAAAACCAGTTTGCACAAATTAAGCAGCTAAAGATATTAGTTACCGACTTTGTGCCAATACAAACACAGCTCCTCTTAATCTCTGCCTTGCAGAAGACTGTTAGAGGCAGAGCGGAAAAGCCAGTTTTAAAAACCACCCCCCTCTCTCGAGACCATTTGGAGCATCTGCTGAACTTCTCTTCCAGCTTGGAGTTGAAGGAGCATTGGCAGAGAGGAACAGCATTTGAACTCAACTCCCAGAAGCCCTACTTCAAAATGAGGTCCATTGTTTTGGGGTCCCTGCCCTGATTTTTAGCGGCTCTTTTGCAAAACTAGCAATTCTGGAGGGGTGGGGGGAACTGAACATGGCTGACACCTTCTCATAGACAGGAATTTAGCTCAGAAATACCCCCCTTCTTCTGTCTAGACCAGTGTTTCTCAACTTTGACCAATTTAAGATGTGTGGACCAACTCCCAGAATGCCCTAGCCACCTGGCTAGGGCATTCTGGGAGTTGAAGTCCACACATCTTAAATTGGCCAAGGTTGAGAAACACTGGTCTAGAAAGTACTGCCATACTAATTTATAGCCATGTCCTTCTGTTTGGGGGAGGCAAAGTTTAGGGAGCCCATGAAACATGCAAACCAGGGAAGAAACACAGAAAAGCTGCATTTTCACAATAAAAGTACTAACTCAGGTTAACGTGGTCAAGAGACAGTCTTCTTCAAGTTCAGCTGCACCCATCCATATTTTCTTGGCAACAGTACAGAAGGGGTCTGCTACCTTGTCTTCTGCATTTAAAAAAATAAATAAATCCTAGTTTTATCTACAGTCCAAGGCAGTGTTTCTCAACCCTGGCAATTTTAAGAAGCCTGGACTTCAACTCCCAGAATTCCCCAGCCAGCATGCTGGCTGGAGGATTCTGGGAGTTGAAGTTCAGGCGTCTTACAGTTGGTAAGGTTGAGAAACACCGGTCCAAGGGATAGGTAGATCGGCTTCTCTTTTGGAAAATCAGTTGAAGATGGTTATTTCCATGTATGATTACACTTTCCAAGAACTCAGTGCTAGCAATAATCTAGGCATTTGGTTAGGTCAGTGTTATCCAAACTTGGCCACTTTAAGATGAGTGGACTTCAACTCCCAGAATTCCCTCTGGCTGGGGAATTCTGGGAGTTGAAGTCCACTTATCTTAAAGTGGTCAGGTTTGGACAACACTGGATTAGGTAATATCAGGTGACAATGCAGAGTTTGGCTTTTCAGGTATTTTGGGCGGAACCCTGAATTATTTTAGGGAAACCGTCTGCTCCCCACAGCATCTTCCCTGCTCCAAGAAGTACTGTATGTATCCCTCTCAAAACAGACTGCCACCGTTTCAAAAAACCCAAAGCACAGGCGTTAAAATGAAGAAATAAAGCATGCACGGATTACATCTGACTTGATTTTATTGTCCCATCTGGACCATTTCTACATTTCATTGTGTTTTGATTTTCAGCGCCGGTGAATTATTATTGAAGCTTCACATACTTTCTTGATTTCACGTTCCTCAGCAGAGGAAAAACTCTGGGTCCTGGGCACTTGAAAGGCAAAATATCTTCGGCTTTGGCTTGAATATTTAATCAATGTGAATGTTTCATAAACAGGTGTCCTCTTATAGCGAGACCCACTCGTGCACTGTTGCCACAAACTTTTCTTTCTGCCCCCAGCAATAAATGCAAAAATATCGCTCTGAAAAACCTTCCACCAGTGGTTTTAAAAGGGAGCATCTCCCCCCCCCCTTTTAAGCACGCAACTCTATATCC